CCCTCCTCCATAAAAATTTCGATGAAAAAATCGTTCGATTATATCCGAGATCGGTGCAACAAAGTATGTTACCATCTTGGAAGCAGAAAGAGAGAGAGAGAGAGAGAGAGAGAAAGTCAAAGACTCGATCGTTTGGGAAAGCTCGTTCTCGGATCTCCCACAAAGACACCCGATTAATTGTTCTGATTCGTAGCAACGACATACTTTAATTACGCGGGGAGATTCGTGGAGGCCGCGCGTGATTAATTGGAAGCGTGCTCTCGAGCAGTTAGCTCGGTGCCGGGCGGAAAATCAGAAAGGATAATTGTGCGAATTACCAAGGAATTGATGCAATTACGGTGCGGAGTCTCGACGGCATTATCGCGGCGTTAAGGAAAGTTATTCGTTCGCCCTGCGGCTCATTATGCAGCGAAGAATTAATGAAATTTGAAAGTGCATTAATCTTCCAGCGCGCGCGTACAAGGTAAGATTGATTGCGCCACACTTAACGCTCCTCCCGCCTTTTCCTTTTCGTTCATTTTTTCCTCCCCCCCTCCCATCTTTATCTTCCTCCTCCTTTCTCACCTCCGCCCCCGCCCCTTAATTCATCCATCGAAATCGATTTATCTCAACAACCCGTCACTTCGAATTATATCCCTCGGCGCGGAAAAACTTGTCGAGCACGCCTCCTAACTAGATTGGTAGTAGGTAATATTTCTTACATTAACATAAGTAGTCGAATTCATTAGCACGACTAAGGAATAAGGCTCAAAGGAATAATATAATCGATGATCCCGGAGAGGAGGAAAGAGAGACAGAGAGAGGGAGAGGGAGGGAAGGAGAGAAAAAGGAAGAGAAAAGAGGGCACGGCAAACCGGATGAGATACGAATGATTAATCTCTCGTCTAACTGAAAATATTAACGATCGGTCCGCACACGTCCGGAGGATTGATCCAGCGCGAGAGATTCGTTTCATTAAACGCACGACCGAGGGGAAATTAAAACGGGCGACAGGCAAGCAAAATGTCGCGTTATATGAAAATGCGAGCAAAACGTTTCCCGCTTAACCGTCCTTCCGCTTTGCTTTTTTCCACGAATGATTGTATTATGCGGCACGTTTGTGCGAAAAGATAATCGTTGAAAAATATCACGGAGGGAAAAATATGGACGGATCGTATATAATCTGCAGTTTTGGTATCAATGTAGGGATAGAATACAATTTGAAAAGACGATCGTCAGGATTGTTAAGATATTATCGAAATGGAGACGTTCTTTTTTTTTTTTTAATATCTTTAACTTTAAGAAATCTTCAAGAATTGGCTACGAAACGTCCATTCTAATTAAAACGTAGTGGAAATTCTGGATCTCTCAGGAACCTATCGGAATCCGCTCGATGATTGGAGAGAGACGCGCAGAATCCACTCGACGAAGATAACAGATCTGTTTTAAAGCTGCGAAAATAGCCGCATCTGTAATAGTAGCGGTATACGAAGAAGAAGAAGAAGAAGAAGAAGAAGAAGAAGAAGAAGAAGAAGAAGAAGAAGAAAAGGCAAACAAGATGGAAAGAAGAAGACGACGAAAAAGAGATTGAGGAAGAAAGTAAGATGGGGCAGGCGCGATCCATTAGTAGACACGTCAATTCAGCTCTTAAGAAGCGACTGACTTAAAGCCGCTTCCATCTATCTTTTTTTGCTCTTTCTCTCTCTCTCTCTCTCTCTCTTAGTTATCTCTCTTCTATTCTCCTTTCCCTCTCTCCTACTTATTAGCGAGGACCGACCTCTCCCTTCTATCTTTTCTTCTTTCTCTCATACGGTATCATAATTAATGATAATTCGATTAGTAGAACAAAACTTGAACCCTAGCTAAGCAGCCTCCGTTCTTTCCCTCCTCCTTCTTCCTTTTTTTTTTAATATTCCCTGTCCGCCCCGTCCGCAACACTCCACCTCCATTCTTTCAATTTTCTCGCCACAAATTGGAAAAAAAGCTTCCGCGAATCGTTCCGCAATGCCACGATATAAACGACTCGATTATTGTTAATCCTCGCGGAAAAAATTACGAATAAATCTTTTACAGTTTTACAGTTTTGAAAATTATCCGCGGAATTTCACCTTTCACGGAAGAGGCATCGCTTTTTTTTTTTTAGAAATAAGATCGCTTTTCAATCCCACACTTTCGTTAACCAATTGCGTATCCATTACTCAAACTCTTTCATCAATTATACCTATACAAAATAGTCTTCGATTCGATTCACTTCCGATCTCGAATTCGACGACGTCCCATCTCTTTGTCCGCCTCTCTTCACGCCGCGGATCCAACTTAATACAATCAAATAAAGATAAATCGAGGGCTACTTATGCACTCCGGCTACCAAACGCCAGCGATTGATGGACGCTCGAACAATCTCTCGCTATCGGGGCACATTAATCGGCGAAGAAGAAGAAGAAGAAGAAGAAGAAGAGGAGGAGGAGGAGGAGGAGGAGGAGGAGGAGTCAAAACCGCGTGGCAAATAAATCAGAAAGTCATCCACGATGACTTTCTTTCCTTCCATACCACTACCATCACCCCCCCCCTCCCCCTCCCCGTATCGATCTGTCCCGAGTCCAAAGAGATTGCAACCAACCGATCCTACCAAAGACGGTGACAAACGACAAGTGCATTATGCAAAAGCGTTTCGGTTATCGATTACCGTAATCCAGTCGCGGCCAACGAGATTACACGAAGCTTAGCCAATACAACAAACGGAATATCGACCGGAAGAGGATGGAATCAACGGTTAATTCCCCTCCGTCGAAACGGTTGCGGATTCTCGTATCACTCGTGTACGTATCATCGATTGATACTACTACTCTTTCTCTCCCCATCCCTGTTCAAAGCGTAATTTTTTTCGTTAACGGTGGCTTTCGATGACGCAGATCACAGGAGGAGGAAAAAAGAGAAAAGAGAGAGAGAGAGGAAAAAAAGAAGGAACGAGGCCCGTCGCCCGTACAAAATTGTTTTGTCGATTTTGACCCTTCCGGCGAGAGTGTCGCGTCGATAGCTGTGCGAACCGCGTGCAGCCGATACAGAGGCGAGTGACATTATAAAGGACAGTCGGTGGCTAGAAACGTTTTCGCAACGACAACGATCAAGAGGACGACGGTTCTGTTCTCGAAATTGGAATTATCGGATATACGTTGGGTGTATAGAGGCCGAGCCAGTGGCGCACCACCGGTTTCGAAACCCGGACGACTAATTAGCCGCGTGCACACAGCCCGCGTGTCCCTCCCCCTCCCCTGCCACGGGCAACCAGATCGTCGCGATACTAACGATTTTTCAATTACGCCACCGTTGCACTTCGCCGCGAATAATTCGTTGACCGTCGAATTTTGGGAAGATGCGAGGAGGGGAGGGAGGGAGGGAGGGAGGGAGGGAGGGAGGGAGGGAGGGAGGGAGGAGGGATCGATGCGATCTTAATTTCGAGGGTTGTTATCGTCGAGGGGGTGGTATCGTCGTTCAAGTTGAAGGGAGGGAGGAGGATGGAGGCGAGTGCAAGCGGTTCGTTTATGAATGGGCAATCGTATCGTGAATGGGAAGATTAATATTTGAGCGAGGGATGAAAGAGTTGGTGAAACGATTATTGAAAATCGGGAAGAATTTATAATGCACACCGATTTACGTAATGGGATTTGTTGTTACCGGATCGTGAAGTAAATTTGTCGAATGTGCTTTAGCTTTAGGATTGGATTAACCGCATTTTGTCCCCGTGTAGGTGTTCTATTTGATAAGTATTACTCAATGATATTAACGTCGGATGCGAAAGGGAATCTTCGATTTAGTCGATTTCAAATTGAGCTGAGATAACACGGTACAAAGGTATACGATTGAAGCAATAACGAGATGTATAATTGGACGTAATAAACAATCTCGGAGTCAACGAGTTAATTAATTCTCTCGATTCGTCGTTGATGAGGCTAGCTGACCACGTACGCGCTACATTTTGATAATTAGCGTCGCAGGGAAAAAAAAGTATAAGATGTATCGTATCGATGCTTTCGTAGGGTAAAATTATCGCGAGCGTCATCTCAATTTGCCTAACTAACGTATCATTAACCGAGCCGTTACGAAGAATACTGTGTCACGCACACGGTACGGCAATTTATTTGTCCTGTTAATCGCGACACACAACGTATCGAAGCAACTAGGCTAGTATATACACTATGGACATCGACTCCGTTAATTTCTCTGCATACTTGCCAAAAAAATTGAAACGTAATCGTTAATTATATATAATAAATTTTCGATGATAATGATAATTCTCTAACGTGCGTATCGTGCGATCTTTGAGAATTTTATCCCACGTAAAATTCTATTCTCGGGGAACATCGTGAGAATTTACTTGATCATTCTCGACTGATCATGTTTCTCGTTGATGATACGATGATTAAATCAAAATCTCGATTCGAAAGCAGTAATTGGATGAAATGATCGATCGAATCTGCTTTATTAATAAGTCTCCAAGGGTAACTTGAGCCGTTTTGGGATTTGCCAGTTCTGGATCCGATACTCTGGGGCGGCTCGCTCCACTCGATCTCTCGTGACTCTCTCGTACCAATCCGACGGAAGAGACCATGGACGTTTTATATTAATTACGTCTTATCAACCGTTTAATTTGCAGTAATTTTAATAAACGGATCACGTCGAAACAGATAAAAATTAATTATACGCATATATTTTGTTCCTAATTCCTGTTTTAAAGAAATTATTTCGTTAATCAAACATGATTGACAATAACTCGTTCTCTCTCTCTCTCTCTCTCTCTCTCTCACTCTCTCTCGTAACTTAAAAGTTGAATTAAAACACTAATTGATTTAAAAACCAATTCAGAAAATTGCATAATTGAATTTCCACTTAGTCGTTACTTACGTTCAAACATCTAAAAATTGAAATTCAAAAACGTATATTCGTTATGCAATCTTCGCTTTAACCTCTTATCACTTATTTCATGAATCAAGGAATGAGAATAAAACATATATCTGTGTTACCTGTGTTTTCCTGCGCGTCTCGACCGTTATCCTCCATTTCCTGATGACTCCTTTTATTGTTTGCCAGTCCAAGGATCGCGTCGATGCTGTGCCTAGGCGTACTACTCGCTGGTTTCGGCAGGACGATGTCCTGGCTGTTCTGCGACGCAGTGTCGACGAGCTGTTGGGAATCCATTGTGTGGGAAAAAATCCAAAAGTGTGATTAAGGTTATCGTGTTTATTTTTATCGCCTATCCTTTCCAACGAAAGGATCTCTCTCGAAACAACGGCGATCCTTTCAAAACACACTACCGCTTAATCGATACACGAAACGATCGTCCAATACACGTGAATTTCGAAATACATTTTGAAGGCAGACCGTCGTTCCACCACGTATCGTATCTTCTATCTCCGTTGCAAAACGTTCTTATCAATGTACACTTGGATTACTAAGAATTATATCATCCAACACCATCTCAACAGTTTTCGTACACGTAGCTTTACTCGTCGAGTAAGATCGAGTCTGTTTATTTACTGGGTTACAATGTCCGCACGATGGTACACATAACTCTACGACGATACCATTGGTTTGCTACTACACCTCTCATGACTCGTCCTTGCCGCACAACGACACATATTTTAGTTAAAAATTTCTTTCGCTCGTCTCCAATTTCTTCCACACTCCACAATTTCCTCCTCCTCCCCTTCTATCCCGTCCAACGATTCGGCGATGGAATTCTCGATAACATCACGCGAGGCTGTTCTGCACCGACTCTTCCTTCCCCCGATCCTAGATCTGCGTCTCGAACAATTGCAGCTCGCCTGTCCGTCCGATCTAAAAACCGCTCCAAAAATCCGTGCCCCGTCCTATTTTCAGCCGTTGAATTCAGGAAAGAATGGACGGAACGAAGAAAGATCGAAGAAACGGTATGTGGATTCGTTAACTCGTGGAGGAAGCGGCGGCGGGTCAGAGGTGGAATAAAATTGCGGCCGGTTAAGGTCGAAGTTGTTGAGCGTGCGTCGTGCCAACGAGGACTAGTCGGTTGGCCGAGCAGCGGGGTGGCCTTTGTTGTGTAGCGCACAACTACTAAGTAACCGAGTACGAGGTTGGATGGGAAGAGGTGGTCCAGGAGTTGGCGTACGAGGCGTGGCCTGGCTCCACGAATCCCCGTCGCTGTTCGCGGAATTTCGAGCCAATCCGGGTTTGGATCCGAGAACATGGCGAGGCAGTGGTGCTCAACCGCCACTGGAAACGCGTCACCCTCTCCCCCTTGCAGGGTTTTAGGTGGGGTTAATTCGCAGGGGGGAAGAGGAGGTGGACTCTCGGAGTCGGGCTTCTGTGACACCGTACGTCCACCACGTCGACCGTCCTCCCGTGTGCGCGTGTACGTGGCTGGCTCGAGTGTGTATCGGCTCGAGGGATGGATACAACGAGTGATTGAGCGCGCGCACACGCGCGACACAGAGGGGTTGCTCGCGTAAACGGACGCCATACAACACGTTTGCACGAGGGGGGGGGGGGGGCGCGCACGTACACACGTACGCGAGGCCGGTGCGGCTTGATTCTTGCGGCGGATTCTGGCATCCCCAGTAATTGCCAGAAATGAGGTAAAGCTTACCGCTTACGCCAAACCTCCTACGCTTCGTGCTAGATGCTCGTACCGTTGGTGGCGACTTGCCGCGCGCGTTACGCGATAGGGTAACCCGCGTATTACGCGTGCACCAGACGCCCGCAATTTTTCCAAGACTGTAAGGAGTTAAGCCGAGTTTAAACTCCCTCCCTCTCTCTCTCTCTCTCTCTCTCTCTCTCTTCCTCTTTCCTCTATCCTATCCGAAGGAGGAACCGCGTCCGGTAGGGGGATGATGACGTTTCAGCGTCGTAATTGCTTCGTTTCGATCCTACTCTGCCCCCGTTGTTGGATAATCTCGTTTGTTCTTTGACGACGAGAGTTTGCATTCTCTCTTGATACACAATACCCGCGCGATGCATGATAATTAATTGTGAACAATTTTTTTTTCTCCCCCTCCTCCCCTTCCGTCTTTTGTTTCTCGATTACGAGACCTTTCGACTAATATTTAATTTCGCTCACGAGCTAATATTAATCCTTTCAACTTGAAAAAAAATTTCATTCGTCGCGTGGTTCTCCGCACACGAGATGCGCGTGCGGACGGTGGATATCGGTGGATAAATATTTGCGGGCCATTTTCCAAACGTTATACGAATATATATAGCAAACTTGCATCTTTTCGTGGGCGGATGATGGAAAAACGCTGCGTATAGAGGAACATTCGAACAGATTTTTATCTCGATTTTCTTCCACAGAGTTTCACAGAGTTAGCTTTGTAACAAGGAGAACGGGGACGACGTTCGTTTTCGTCCTCTCTGTAACTACTCTCTGTATCCATGGATTGTTTCTTTTTTCCCGTTCGCCGTACCCGAAAAACCAGAGAGCACAAAACAAATCCCCGTTTCCCATTCCGCATTCGATTCCGCGTATCGTTGTTACCATTTGGCGTTTTAGCCCAGGGGGAAGTGTACGCCCACAAAACCGCGGCACAAAAGATATCCGCCTGTAGCGAAACAGTAGCTGCTCAAAATCGATCCGCCGAAAATCGAGGCAAATTATACGGTTGCGGACCCGATTCACGGCCCTAACGTTATAGAAAATCCCACCCTCCTGTCCACGCGTCCCAGATTATAATTGCGCCCCAGAAATAATGCGTCAACGTCGCGCACCACGATAAACGATCCGTGTTACGAGTAATTGAACTTGGAAACTTGGAGCCGATCGAGTATCGTTTATACGATTCCAATTTGGGGGGTTCAAATTTATACGATTTATGCGATTTCTGGTAAAAGAAATGGAAGGGAGTTAAACGTAATAAAAAATTCATACATCCTAATAATGATAATGATAATAATAACAACAACATATCGTATTGGATCATGGATATTTGCACGTTTAAGGAACGTGGACGATACGTGGTCCTCCGAGAATCTATGATCCGGAGAAGCATTGTAGCTAAAAATTATTCGAAGAATATTCACTCTCAACGAGGATTTATTAGAATTTAGAATTTCCAGAATTTTTTAAAAAACGCTTCCTTATATATCGAAAATAACAAATTTCCCTAAGTGCAAATAAAAATTTAGTAATTCAATAATCGCGTCCCTCGCGTATACAATGTTAGATTGTTTCGTTTTATCGCGAAACAAAACGTCGCTGATGGCTGATTTCAAGGATAAAACAAATCCTCCAAGTTAACTTAACAAAAATTTAACCAAGATTGATGACATTTTCAATAATTGTCTGTAAACTAACGGATAAAATTCGATCGACCCTTCCATTCATTTTACTTTCCGCGACAAAACGCATGAAAACGGAACAAAGTATCACGATCCACATCGATCCTCTCGAAGAGATCCTTTCGTACGCGTAGTTCCCACGTGCCGTTTGCATCGCGTTTACACGCGTTAACAGGCGACGCCGTTTTCCACGCCGGCAATCTCGGTCACGAATCTGGCTACCCGGCACGAGTAAGTGGAAAGTGCTTTTAGCCTGTGCAGAAATCAGATCGCAAGTTGCATTTAACCGGATCCCATTTAACGCGATAAATATCTGTCGGAGGGAGCCGGGGTAAAACGTTACTAGATCGACGCGTTTATTTCGTGGCAGGCCCGGTTCCGGAGCACTTAGCTCCAGTTTTAGCTAATTTCTCGAACGTTGATCCTTCTTGGGCTCAAGGGATTCCAAACGCCGTATCCGGCAGGATTGCTCTCCAAGAGCTCAGGTAGACCCGGTTAAACGTTTCAACCTGTGTTCGAGAAGCAGCTCGTATCGTCGAACCGATTTTCCCAGATAACGGAAATCCTCCTCCCTAATTCCACGTAATTTTCTGTCGTTGTAACGAAAAAAAAATAACTGTATACTTTTGAAACTGAGAAATGGAAAGATCGCGATGAATTGTGATTATAAACGTTTAACGTATTAAAGTATCTATTAAAGTAGGATAAATACTTGATCCTTTTGAAATTTTTATCGAATTATCCAAGCAAAGGTCACGAAGCTTCAGAAGTGGAAAGCAAGCCTGTTTGTACGCTCATTACATAAAATTAGAAATAAATATAAAGCCCCATAAAATTATTAGCCCACTTTTCAGGGACGATCTTCCACGATACATCTCAATATAACCTCCCTGTAAAATTTCGTACAATATCCAAAATGCGTTACAAGATCTCCCATTGATCCTCCAATAAAAGGGAACAAGATCGAGTCTCGTTCGAAATTGCCGAGAAATGCCGCATAGAGAAACTACAGCCTCCATCGAAATCCTCATTGTCATACCGTCTTAAGGATCGGCGATCAGGAGCGATCGGGCGTGATTCACAATGGCGCGTGTCCGACGCCAAAAGGACGTCGAAAGGAGCAACCGTGTTCCCTGATGGACGAGAATGAACCGTTCGTGCAAATCGGGAGAGGACGCGAGTCCTCGAAAACGAGGCATAATAAAGGAAAAACTGGGCCGGTCTATTCACGTGGACGTGGATCCTCCCGGCAGCTGCGTGGCGGCCCCCGATCACCGAGATAAGTCTAATTTCGTTGTATCCGGCCATTGAGACCGTTTGCACGCCGACGAAAATCCGCTCCAATTTTTCCCTGAAGCGATTCCCTCGGTGGCCGGTAATTCGGTCATTGCGAACGAGGATCGCGCGAGGTGCGAAACGGAGAGAGAGGGAAGGAAGGAAGGAGGGAGGATGAAAGGAACCCAAAGCGATCCGCGTGGCGGGCGTGGATCGCGGAACCGAATGTTTTCCGCGTTGTGAATCGTGGAAGAAAAGGTTGTTTGGGCTACGGTAGCCACGGGTGGTGGTGTCGCGCGGGAGGCGTCGGTATTGTTGGGAGGATTTCGCGACAGGTTTTGGGAAAACTCTCAGCGGGGGTGAAGAAGGATCTTCAGATTTCTGACGTTTAATCCGTCATGCGCCACTGTGAGTTTCTCCAGGGTAATCTGGGGGAGGGTGGTATTGGAATTGTACGAGGGATTTCCGCGGTTTCTCTCTCTCTCTCTCTCTCTCTCTCTCTCTCTCTCTCTCTCTCTCTCTCTCTCCGTCCGTGTAAACCAATCTATTATTTTTCTTTTTTTCTTTCTTTTTTTTCTTTTCTACGGGAGATAAAATTCGTGGATGGGAGAGAA